AACGCATCCCAAAACCAGCCCAGCTCATCCCTGCCTCCCTAACCTGTTCTTCCTCCCACCTCGAGCTGCACCCCCATCTCCTACCTACTAACCTCATCCCATCCCCTTGACCTGTCCATCCTCCCTGAACTGACCTATCCCCTCCCTAACTCCCCACCTACACTCTCTCACCTTTTTTACTGGCTCCATCCCCGCCTCTTTGACCTGTCTCTGTTTTCTCTCCACCTATCTTCTCCTCTATCCATCTTCTATCCGCCTCCCCCTTCTCCCTATTTTATTTCAGAACCCCCTTCCCCTCCCCCATTTCTGATGAAGGGTCTAGGCCTGAAACGTCAGCCTTTTTTTGCTCCTATGATGCTGCTTGGCCTGCTGTGTTCCTCCAGCTCTGCACCTTGTCTCGGATTCTCCAGCATCTGCAGTTCCTACCATCTCAGAGGTAACCTTCTTCACTGTCCACTTCACCTCCAATTTTGGTGTCATCTGCAAACTTACTAATCATACCTCATGTTCCCATCCAAATCACTTGCATATAGGATGAAAAGCAGTGGATCCTTGTGGTCACAGACCTGCAGTCTTGAAAAGCAACCCTCCACCACCACCCCCTGTCTCCTACCTTTTGAATAGTTCTGTATCCAAATGGCTGGTTCTCCCTGTATTCCATGTGATCTAACCTTGCTAACCAATGTACCATGAAGAATTTTGAACGCCTTACTGAAGTCCATGTAGGTCACCTCCACTGTTCTGCCCTCCTCTGTCCTCTTTGTTACTACTTCAGAAAAACTGAATCAAGTTAGTGAGATATGGTTTCCCCAGGCACGAAGCCATGTTGACTATCCCTAATAAGTCCTTGCCTTTATAAGTGTATGTAAATCCTGTTCCTCAGGATTCCTTCCAAAAACTTGCCACCACCAATGTCATGCTTGCTAGTCTATAGCTCCCTAGTTTTTCCTTACCACCTTTCTTAAAAAGAACATTGTGATCTAATCTTTCAGGGTAATTGCTTGTAACCAAGACACCAATTTCAAATAATTGGCAAAAAAATCAGACCATTCGTGTAATGCTCTGAGGAAACCTTTGAGAATCTGTGAGGAAACTTTTTTTTCTTGTCACTTAACTGCAATGATTCATGTGCTACTGCTTCTTGTGTTTAATTATGAATTGAGTCACAATGGCTGGTTTTATGTTAATCCTCTCCCGTCAGACAATGCACGGTTGCTGATTTCTTATCCTTTTTTGTTTTTAAAAAGAATAATCACACTCACTTGATATTCCTTCTCGTGTTCCAAGCAGCGGTTTCCCCGAGGGATGTGGCACCACAAGAAGAGAAATGGAGGTCTGTGTCACTGGGCTATGGTGCAGCAAGAATCCTTTGCTCAGTCTGCAGCTTGCTCTGGTAGACAGCAGCCAGCAGCTGCAAAGGCTCCTCCAGCTGAGCAAGGTAAGTGTTTGTTGTGTGTGGCTTTTTTTAACAAGGCGCAGACTTCCAGATAATTAATCTCTTTCATACCTGAGGAACTGTCCAGCTATAGAAATGGTACAGTGCAGATTGTAGCTTTTTAAAAAATAAGTACTAATGTACAGCAGCTGGTTTTACCAGGGATGAACTGTGTCAATTATATGGAAAGACTGAGATTACATTTTGGATCAGACTAAGGAGAGATTTGCCCAGAGGTGTTAAAAGTTCTACGGTTTTGACTTGAGGAGAAACTGTGAGAAGGTCAGTAACCAGACGGCACAGTTTCAGGATAGTTGGTAAAAGAACCAGAGGGAAGATGAGAAACAATTTTTTGATTTTTTAAGTGGCCTTTTGAAGCTGACTTCAGTCCAAATGAGACTCCCTCTGCAAATAGAGTATTGAATTATTCAAAGATTTTTCACATCACCCAAAGTGTGGGTCAGGGATGGAAAAATATTTTTTATTTCCCTGCGACCATCTGCTTAAAATCTTTTAAAAATTGCTTAACTGAAACTATGGCATGGTGATGAACGTCTCCTGTAGCTGAGCCTTTTTTATCTTGCGACAGCAGCAGGTTCTGGGAGTCAGAAACCAGATCAGAATGTGGCCTATCTGAAGAATGTGGGACGAAATGTGGCTGCAATGCTCAGTCCATTGGGTAAGTTTTTAGAAATTTCTGGTTCTATCCCCAGTCTCTTGGTTTGAGAATTTTTTTTTTTTTTTTTTTTTTTTTTTTGTGGTTTGTGTGAATGGACCCTCCCAGCACTGGCTATGCTCTGAACACTTAAACAGCCTGATGAGGGAGGCTGTCTGTCTTTTAAATGGTGGCAAACATCTTGCAAAGTGGGGGTCATAGCTGTAACACCAGCTTGCTAGCTCCTTCTTGGGGAACGAACTTGTAACTTGGAGAGCTCTCTCTGCAGTTACTGATCTATAACTTCCTCTGGCCAAAAAAACACCTTTCTTGGAGGGGGAGCAGGAAAATCCTCATGAGCATTTCACCTGATGTGGAGCTTTTGAGTATTGTCAGTAGATATGACATGCCTGAGCATGTTTTTAAGTGTTTTCATCAATTACTATTATAATAGTTATAATTACATTTAGCATCAAAACAGTCCAATTAGTTTCTGTTCAAAACCAGTTGCTGTCTACATTTTAACCCTACCAATGCATTATATTTATTTCTCCTTTGTGGGAATGGGATAACCTTAACTGCAATATGCCATTCATATCAACCCTTCCCTCTGATGGCAGGTTCACCATTCTCTTGGTAAAGAGGTTCTCTGGATTTATTGGTAACAAACAGTGTCGTTCAGCATGTTTTAATTCAAGCTCTGGATGGCGTAGACTTCTGCCTTCTTGCCCTGTCCCCAAGGGTGAAAGGCAATGGCAATCTGCCACTGATAATATCAAGATGAAAACTCAGGACCACGACCCAAGGACCTGCCCATTGTGCAGAGTTCACATATCTTTCTATAAGGAGGTCAGCCAGGTGCAACCTCCATAGAATGAGTTCCCTGACTGGATCAAATTAACAGCATTTCCACCTCTTCCTTCCCCCCCCCCCCCCAACTTCTTTTCTGCCCCTGCCCACCACCACCACCAACCCCCACATCAGGGAGCTCTGGCTGACAGACAGACAGACACTCCCGTTTTTGTCTATTCACTCGCTAACTGTGAGGAAGCTGGTCCAGTGTCAAGTAATGTGCATATGTACTTAAAGGCTGACCGGATACCAGCCTTGAGTTATTTCACTTCTTTCCATCCTCTTATTCATGGCACCTACTTCTGGTCTTCTCCATAAAACGAAACGTTTTGTCTACATCTATCCCATCAAACCCATACATCATCTTAAAGATTACTATCACCCCTCTGCTTTCTGTGCCCCTAATCTAATATTTCCTTATGGATGCAACATCTCTACGCTGTTGTTTCAGTAAATCATTCTTATACTGTCTCTGGTGCTTCCAAGTTTTTTAAACGTATGACTCAAACTGGTCTCTTTGTATTGTAGGTATTGATGTTGACATTGATGTGGAGCACAGGGGCCAGCGTTTTAAAGCTACTGGGTGCCCCATGGAAAGTCAGCCTAGCTCCACAGGTGACAATGCACATTCTGGTGCATCATCTACTGACCAGACCAAGACCAGAACAACTCCCAGCTCCAATCAGGAGCAGAGTGAGACTGTGGTCATGGACGTGGATCAGACTGCCACAAATCAGGGTTCCTTCGAGACTTTCACCCCAAACAATGCACCGCAAAACAAGGTAAAGGAAGTGACTTCACTCGGTATTTAAAATAAATAAACCACAGATTTTTAAACTTCCATATTTTCAAGCTGAGGATATTTTAATATTTATTCTTGAAATATGGTGTTACTGGCAAGGTCGGGAGTCATTATCTCCTGAGATATGCCAAGATGTGGTAGTGGATAACCACTGTTGTAGGAGGATAAGAGTTGGGAGAGAAACAATGACCAGTACTATAACGTGCACTTCCTTTTTATTTACTGTTCAATAGTGCAGAAATTCACAGCCAAAAAAGTCCATGTATTAGAAAATAAATGTTGACCATGCAGAGTTTTACAGGGCGGCTTTTGAACAGTAGTAGCTGTTTCACATGGCTCAAACACTTTAACATACTTCCATCCCTGATATAGACATGCCCCTTCATTTATCTTTTCACTCCAGAGGCCAGCAGTAAAAATGGAATTTGTCTAGTGTTATCCAGATGTGCAATGTCCTTCCTGACAGGATCACTCTGAAGATCCTAAAGCTGTTTGCTGCAGTTTGTGGTTGTAACAGCAAGAGAAGACAGCCCTAAACTTCTTAATTCCAACATTGACTACTGTTATAATATTCTATAGAGAAGGAAATCTGCCATCCTTATTAGATTTGACTGACTTGTGACTCTCGACCCACAGTAATGTGATTGCTTTTTAACTGCCCCATGGGCAATTAGAAATGGGTAATAAATGCTGCCCTAGCAAGTGAGGCCCATGTCCCACAAACAAATAAGAAAAATTGGCTCTAGTTCTTGATGTCTGAAGGTGCCATACAAATGTTCAATTTTTTTTAATTGAGTATATCTTGAATGATGAAATTAGGCCAACTGAAAACCCATGTTGGGCCAATAGTTAGTTCACAAGAGACCATCACATTCTTAAAAAATTGACCATTGTCTCATTGCTGCTTTTATGCAGTCTTTACAAGAAAAGCTGTCTTGTTTTCTACATGAGAACAGATGCTACCACTTTGTTTTTCTTGTTTGAAAAAGATACTTTGGATGTGAAGGGCTTTAGTCCCAGTGTCATGAAAGGTGCAGTATAAATGCAATTTTATTTCTGTCATTTACCTTTTTCCGATCTAGATTGGCAGTTCTATTTTCAATTTCAAGAACACTGATACCAAAAGTAATGACCCAAATGCTCCTTTTGGTTAAAGTCAATTAAATCTACACTCTTCCAAGTCCAACCTAGATGCCTTTCTGGGTTGGGGTGGTATCCTAATGATGCCTAAGTTGACCTATTATGGAAGCATGATAATCTTGACAACTGTTTCAGACCAGGTGCTAATTAATGACTTTTAAAAACAAAAAAGTGCTTATTTAAGAGTTTCTTGTAAAATTGTAAATTTAATAACATCTCTGGTTTAAATGTAAAATGTTACTTTTAAAAATTCCCTTAACAGACTCCCAGTGTTGACAGTAATATTGATGAGGAATGGACTCATCTGTCGGACAAAGGGGTCGATCCATCAACTGGTGAACTGCAGTCAATGGAGCAACTTCATTTGCAGGAACATGAGGAAGGGCAACCCTTAATCCAGCAACAAGATTCTTGTTCCTATGACCTGGGACCCACTGGATTGAGAGAAGCAGCTCTGTACCCTCATCTTCCACAGGGTAAGTGGAGGGTTTTAAGAATCAGGCAGTTCTTGGAAGTCAATAGAAAATACTGCAAATATTTAGTAGCTCTGATAGAGAAAGAAACAGTTTCCATAGAATCTCCACTGTGTGAAAACAACAGGCTGTTTTGGCCCAAGTCCAGACCGACCTTCCAAGGAGTATTCCATCCAGGCCCATACCCCTACCCTTTCCCTGTAACCATGTCCTATGGCTAACGCACCTTTTTTTTTTTTTTTTAATGTACACATCCCTGAACGCTATGGGCAATTTAGCATGGCCTATCCACCTAACTCCCACATCTTTGGACTGTGGGAGGAAACCGGAGCATCTGGCAGAAACCCACACAGACACTGGAAGAACATGCAAACTTCACACAATTGCCTGAGAGTGGAGTTGAACCCAGGTCCCTGGTACTGAGACAGCAGTGCCACCCTGCATTTGGTTCATGATCTAGTTTTGCTTTTGCATTTTGTCTTTGAAGTCCATGGTGGGGTTGGATTCTTGAACTTTGATTCCACATCCTTTTTTTGACATTTTAGTCCAGTCATATGCCTGGGGAATTCTGTCCTAACTTGAAGACCCTAATTAAGTGGATCTGGAGGCACATCTAGACCAGATGGCAATTTCCCTCCTTGAACTAGATTATAAACCAGATGGACTTTACTAAAAATTATCATTAGACTCTTAATTCCAGATTTTTAATGGATTCAAGTTCCATTTGCTATGGTGGGATTTGAACCAGAGTCACCAGAACATTACTTGGGTCTATAGATTAATAGTCCAGCAATTAATACCTCTTGGCCATTGCCATCCCTTGCTTATTTCATTTTATCTTTTATTTCCACTCTTTGCCTGATGCATCATTTAAGGCCTTTTTTGTTATTCAATCTCCTCTGTCCACCCTATCACAGACCACCTCTCCGTTGTTGCTCCTACCTTCCTCTTGAATAAAAAAAATTAACAGTTTCACTGTACAAGTCACAATTTTCTGTTCTTTTCACTTCACTTGTACTGAAGATGCTAGACATCTGAACTATTTGGTTTTAACATCTGCATTTTATTTAAACTTGAACCAATGCTTGTAGTGCTCTTTTGGTTCACTTATGACAAGATTCTGAGATAACAGTTTGTCGTCTTCCAGATGCAGAGCCACGCCTGATAGAAGCCCTATCTCAAATGCTGTCCATGGGATTCCATGATGAGGGAGGTTGGTTGACTCGGCTCTTGCAAACCAAGCAGTGTGACATTGGAGCAGCGCTTGATGCTATGCAACCTGCAAAGGGGCCAGCTCGCCAATAAATCACTTTGAAGCAGAAAAGATCCATAAACAACATTTTTCTTTTTGCAATATTATCGGATTGCTGCTTTTCCCAATGAATTATAATCTCATTTAATTGCACTTTCTGTAAAATTCTATTTTTTAGAATGCTCTAAGGGCTGTGCAGGTTCTTGGTGGCCCCTATCTTATTTCACACCTGTATTTTCCCAGGGTTGGGAAAGAATTGCTTTGGTACTTAATTTGCGTTGTCACTTTTAACTCCATTGGTTCATAAAATCCTCCACACACATTAAACTGAGTATGGGTTACTTCACTAAATTTTTTAATATACTGTGTATTTAGTGTTTGATTTTAAATACTGGGTCCATTTCTCTTTTTCCCCTCTTAGGGATGTAGGCAATAGAAGCCCCACAATTCAGGACAAATTGATGAAAGTTGCTGTTAATGGTGTTTGTGCATGGTCTTTTTATTCACCACTAACCTATGCTTGTCAGTCATAGATACAACAGCTGAGCACTTTTTCAGTGAAAAAACACAAAATATTAGATTCTCCTAATGAACGAGTAGTTGGGACCAAAAAAAATTGAGTGGAGGAAGATGAGGATAAAAAGAAAGCTGCAGGTTCTGACAGTAAGACTGAAGCTGTAGTGGGGTGAAACACAAGTGGCTAAGACCTTAACAATATATGACAAGTTGCAGTCTTGATAGGGACCACAGACTGAACACCAGATGTTAAAACTGTTAACCACAAAACACGACTCCATTGCAACTGGCAGGAGTTAAATTGTCTAGGCAGTAAGCCTACCAATCTCCATTTGTCAGGAGTAATGTGGGAAAAATCTAAAATTTCTGCTTGGAATCTGAAGTATTACCATCAGGTCAAATACAAAATGAAGGGAAGAGAATTGGCAATAGCTAAAAGGACTGCTGACATTTTGCCCAAGTATTGGAGGTGAAAGTGTATTGACTTAAATTTGAACTTCTAACATTGAACTTTTTTTATCTTTCTCCACATACCCACTCTCATCCCCCATTTGCACCATTATGATTTGTGCTGTATAAGCAACAGTTCCACTTCAGAACATCTCTGCCATCCCACAGAAAGTACTTTAGAATGCTATAATTTAGTGTTAAACTTTAATCTGTACTTTGTTATTCCCTGCAATAAAAACTGCATTTTAAAAAGAAAGGCACTGAATTATTTACTGAAAAAAAAAGTCAAAGTTGACTTGATGGCAATTTGAAGATATTAACACTCTCTTTTGAATGGTTAGCTTGGTAGTGAAGTGACTGTTTTAATGTTTGAGAAGCTGAAGAAAGGTTTACAGCCTTTCATATCATGGCGTGGTGGGAGGGGGGGGGGAAGAAACATAGGATTGGCAGTAATTGGATTGATCTGCATAGACTTGCTGTATTTTCTAATGTCTGGCTGCTTGAAGGTCAATTCCAGGCAGACAATCCTCTACCAATTCAGAGTGATGAATTTTTTTTTTTAAACCTTCGTTGTTTGGCAAAGCCTGTGCTCCATAAGAGAACTTTTTAAACAGAGTGCCATATACCAAACAGAAGTGTGTCAAGTGGTCATGACTAATGTGAAGGCTCAGCCTAATGCTCTGAGGATGCGCGATCTTGAATCATGGCAGCCGGTGGAAATAAACTGTTCGTCCTCTTAGGCTCATTCACATTGTTTGCAAAAATTTCATCGCATTAAAACAGGAGAACTAGCCACCTTGAAATATTTCAAATTTATTTTACAGATTGCTTTAATTCACAACTATTTGACAACAAAAGCACTTAATGAAGATGTTAAATATTTAAGCTAAACTCCAAAGATAACATCTTTCCTGATCTCAGGCTGTACACCAGCCAGACATTTATTTTTTTAGAAAAAAAAAATCATTCTTGTAACATTAAAAAAAGTCAGCCCATCTGTACACCAAAATCTCCCAAACGCATGTGGTAATGAAGATAGTGAGCATCAGGAGAATTCCCTGCTCGTCTGTGACAGTATCATGGAATCTTTTACTACCACCTGAGGGGGTATACAGGACCTCAATTTAAAATTGCAACTCAAAGATGCACCTCTAACGATCCCTGATCACAATATTTCCAAGTGTTATCTCACCTATGCCATCATGGCTAGAATGACACTTGAACCCATTAACATTTTGATTGAGGGGAGAGTACTACCCATTCAAACAACAGCCAAACCCCTGAATCAATTGCCAGGAACAAATGTAGTTCTTGAATCAACCTTTACCAGTACACATGCTCTTACATTCACAACCAGGTTTCTGTGTTTTAAGATCTTGTTCTGCTCTCTTCATCATTGTCATCTCAAATTAATCAGGTGTGAATCTGATTTTATTTCAAAGTTAGGAACATGGATATTATATCCTTTACTCTAAAACTAATACTATAATTGAATGGTCACCTAGTCACCTGAAGTAATGGCATTGCCAAGGTTTGATGATACCTAACCCACTAGCATCATGCAAACCAGCAAAGTGGTGTGGTTGATTCCTACCCTCATTCACCTCTTTCAGAGTTGTTAGAGATACATCTAGTACCAATGCAAGTTTTGGCACTTTGCAGCATTTCTGTAGAGCTGTTCTGCGACCATGTCATCCCAGGATGGGGCACAACAGTATAAACTTTGTAATTTCCAACTGCTGTTTCTCACAAGCACTACCTGAAATAATCTCTCTTCATCTTTCATTAAAAGTTGCATTGCAAATGTGCTGGCAGATTTGGCGCAAAAGAATCACATATGTGTAATGCTGCTCATCTGACAATACATCAGGTACCCCCATTTTATAAGCCATAAACCCTGCAGTGGGAGGGGGAAGATCAAAAATCACATGACCAAAAATTACACATCATCAAAATCCTCATCCGTCTGAAAGAGCGAGAGAAAGCAGCTGTCTTGCTTAGCCTGAAATCCAAAAGCTGTACCGGGTTTCTCATAAACCGAAAGCTGATGGGCTGATGGAGATTGAGGGGCCAAAGGAGACCCTGACTTTAGAATACATGAAACTCCAGAAGCACCATCCATGGACGCAGAGAAAGGGTCATGCACTACTGTTACAGCTCCGCATGCAATACTGCTGAGTCTATGCACATCAGTAGTGGGTTCAGGCAAACTCGGCATAGTCATGTCTTCTTCAACATGTTCTAGAGAAGCGAGTGGTCGAGTCATGGTTTCCTCTGTAACTGTTTCAGTGATTTGTAGTGAACTTGGGCGGCCATTACAAGCCACCCCCAAGCCAGCAAAACCATCCACATCTTTTCTGTAATTTTCAATAGCAGAATCTGCTGAGGGCTGGTCCCCCTTCCAGGTTAGATATCCATCAGCTTTACCAGTGCCTTGATTGAAGAATTCATCGTCTTCTGTCGTACTATGTGATAGGAATCTATCCCACCTAGACGCCTGTGCACCCTGTTGCTTAATTGGGTAGGTAGTTGTGCCATACCGGCTCTCATCATTCAGCGAGGTCACTGGATTGGATTCTAAATGCATGCTGTTTGAAATGTTGTTACTTTCTGTATTCCTAATCACTTGACACCCGTTTCTTCTTTCAGTTGGTGTGGAGTTCATACATTTCTAGGAGAGAGAAAAACACCAGCACAATTACACACAAGAAATCAAGAACAACAAAAGTTCATTTTGGGAACTGAAATCCATGCCTCTAAGTCCCCTAACCTCCCATCAAACTTCATCCACCAGTGCCTAACTCTCCTAAAGACTATCTCATTTGTACTCTAACACTACTCCAGCTTGAACATCTCTCAGTTGGTTAGCAATCTGTGAACAGACAAAGAGACTTCCCTTGTTTCACTATAGCAGCTTTCACAACCTCAAGATTTCCCAAAAGAACCAGTCACTGTTGTAATGAAGGAAACTCAGTAGCCAGTTTACAACAGCAAACTCCATAAACAGCAATCTGATAATGACCAGATAATCCACGTCTTGCAATTCTGTTTGAGGGGTAAATATTGGCCAGGACATCTGGGAGAATACCCTAGTTGTTCCTCAAAGTACAGCCATGAATCTGTGTCCACTTGAGAAACCAGACATCTCCCTGGGTTAACCTCTCATGTTAAAGATGGCCCTCTGATGGTGCACCATTCCTTCAGAAATGGATGAGGTATCAGCCAAGATTTTATGCTTTAAAATTCTGCTGTAGGATTTGAGCCCATAACTTAAAAGCCAGAGTGCTGACCACTGAATAGAAGTTTGCCAGGTCCACTCAGCCTAATTTGAATATTTCTGGTTTGATATTTAAATACCTAAGTTAGGTCCTTTGGTTGAAGTTTCAGGGACAACGGTTATCCATTTAAAATTGCCACCCAGAGAGCAAAAGGAGAAATTTCTTCACACAACAGAATGGACTACTTTCTTACGAGGAATGTTTGAGCAGAGATCACTGCGTTAAATGATACAGGTGTTTCACCAGAACCCTGATGAAAGATCATCTTGTCCTGAAACTTTAAATCTGTCTCTCCACAGATGCTGCCTGGCCTGCTGAGTATTTCCAGCATTTTGTGTGTTTGTATTAATAGCAGAGCATACCAGGGTAGCTGAAACTGCTGAAAAATAAATCCACACGTATTGTTTCTCCAGACAGCGGAGGTCCTAATCTCAGTCAAGTTGTTGTGCTGGGGAAGCAAATTGTGCCAAATAAGTGGGTGCAGGTAAAGCCATTTGATTTTACACACCTTGAACATGAGCAGAATTTTTTCTGCATCTAGATTAACAGCACTGGCCTCAGCACAGTGCCAATGGAAGGGTTACAGTGTCCTACCTACAGTTTTGTCTTCCTTACCACCCAGAAAAGGGTGTGCTGCTCTTGTCAGTTGCTCCATCTGGTGAAATTGATGGACAATGACAGCATATTGGAAAAGAAAGCCAATAAAACCCTCTCGCCCTTCCCACTGCCATCCAACAATTTGTTCCCGGTTTTACCAACCTACAGCAACTCAAACTGGGATGGGAAGAGAGAGGGAACCCAACTGTTTTCAACAATCATATTTATCCAAGCTTTCCCAGCAATAATCACAAGGCTTCCACAAGTCATATCAGTCGAATTCTCACCAGATAGCGACCCATGGCCGTTTGAGAGGATTCTGTTTCCTTGTTCTCAGTACCGTTACCATACAGCTCCAGTTGCTTTGAGGTACATAATCCCCTTTTACGTTTGCTAGGAATGAAGACAGAAAACATTCCAACACATTTTCCTCAGTATTTAAACTGAATAACACTTTAACCTCAGTAACTCAAAAACTCCACACCCCCACCTCCATCACACTCCCACCAACGTTGTGGGTAGCCCACTTCACCACCTTAATTAGTTTCCTCCAGCACAGTGATAAGTACTAAGTATGAGGATGTCACATCCAAGTTAGCTCCTACCTTGTCTGACAGTCAACTGTGGCTTATTACGTAGCTATCAAGAACAAGAATTTCCACTCCCTGAACCTCATCCACTTCTGACTACGACAGAATACCCCCAGCTCCTAGCATAAGGCTAAACCAGGGGCTGACCTCTCACCTTCTATTCCTGTTGGCATTCCTCATGCTTGCCTGGAACTGCTGGCGATCTGTGTATACAATGTCTTCCTCTTTTCCTTCCTCATCTGATATCTCAATAATGGGATTCTGGTCCAAATAAACACTCCAACGGCTGCTAGCTGAGTTCTCCAACTGAGAGAGTGTACATTATGCAAGAAACACGTCAACGGTGTCATATCAAACCACAGATTCACTTCAAAATAAAGATGGTTTATAAATTGTATGAAATGAAAGCATGTAAGATAACTTGCTTCAAAAGTTAGATTTGGTTTTCAGAGTCCAACAGCCGTCAAGCTAAATACATCAGTCTCTTTGCTCACAGCAGTGTCCCACAAATAGCATTCATTACAGTACAACAACTGGTGGCTACGACAGGCCATCAGTTGTGCGCCAGGTGGCAAAATGGATTTGAATAAATATGATGATTTATGGATGAATTGTCATTAAAAATCCAAATGGTTCACGAAGCTCCTTCGGAAAGGGAACTTGCTGTCAATACCCAGCCTAACCTATACTAGCCCACTCATTCTACTAGCAGGAACATAGGATTGGAGCAGGAGTAGCTATTTGCCTCTCAGCTTGCCTTACAACTCAATCAGATCAGCAATGATCCATTAGTGCCATTTTACTGCATTATCGCCAGATCCCTTGATTCCTTTACATATATAGAAACCTAACAATTTCTGTCCTGAACATTCTCAATAACTGAATCTCCACTCTGAGGTACAAGAGATTCATCAGCCACCAAGTAAAGAAATTTCTCATCTCAATCCTAAATAGCGGACCCCTTATTCTGAAATAATGTCCCTGATTCTAGACACACCTGGCCTCACCCATGGGAAATACTCTTTCTGCACCTACCCTGCTGAGCCCTGCAAGAATTCTGTCTGCTTAAATGAGATCACTTTTCATTCTTTTAGATTATGTAGAATGCTAAGCCAGTTTCCTAAATTTCTCCTCATAGGACAGACCTACTATCCTAGGAATAAATTTTATGAGCTTTAGTTGCACTCCTTCTACGGCATATATATCCTTCTTTAAATAAGGAGTCAAAACAGCACACAATACTCCAGGTGTAGTCTCACAAGGTTCTATATAATTGCAGCAAGACATCTTTACTCTTGTACTCAAATCCTCTTGCAATAAATCCCAACATACCATTTGCCTTCCTAATTGTCTGTTGCATCTGCATGTTAGTTTTCAGTGACTCATGGACAAGGCCATCCAGGTCCCCTTAAATATCAAATGAGTTGACTCGTACAGAGTGCCCCCAATTTAGGAACATCCAACTTACAAATGCTCATACTGTTGAACGATCTCATACAAGGGTATAATCTTAAAGATTTAACATACAACCATTTTCTGTATTTACAAACTACTCCTTTACAGTGTCATGCTTTGTGTTTCCACTTACATACAAATTGACTTGTGAACAGACCCCAGAACAGAAACAGTTTGAAATTCCAGACTTGGTATTGGCAAGTATTATAATTTACTATTGATGGAAGCCACGTCCAACCAATATTCACCGTTAGACATGCAACATGAAATACAAGTCGGCAGCTACAGGTTTTGCAAGGCACCAAAATCAATTTGGATCAGTTAGGGTGGAGAGCCAATGAATTAAGCCTACTTCTCATTTGGATCTCTCTCACCTGCTCATTCACTGTACAAAGTCTTTCAGAATTGGAGTCAGTGTTTGCACATGTTGGTTCCTCAATGGACCTGCCACCAAAACAGAAAATAAAATGAAAGATGAGCCAGTCGATGATTGTGGACCAGCAACCCATAAATCAGAAGTATAAACCCAATCTCAGTTCAATTTCACAACCTCTGATTGTGAAACTAAATCTGCTGATTGATTGGAATGTTACAGATAAAACTAAAAGCTGCCAGATTGTTTTACTCATTCACTTACGACTTTAAGGAAGGGAACCTGCCTTACTTACTTGGTCTGGTTGCAATTCTCATTAACTCTATAAATTAAAGTTCCCAGTCCCAAATGCTATACACCAAGTTTTGCTGGAATTTGTGGATTTATATTGAGGGCAGGAATAATTCACAGTCAAACAAACTCACTTATAAAAGGGAATGTTGGGGAGGGCTAAACCCTATGGAATCACACCTCAACATGCCTTTGAGAGAGTGACGCTGCAGAAGAATATTTCCATTTAGGCCTCAGCTCAACTATTGGACCCTATTTTGAGTACCACATTTTAGGAATTATGTCAAAGCACTGGAAAGAACGCAGAAGGAGATTTGCCATCAGGTTGCCAAATGTGAAAGACTTCAGTTATGTGAAGAAATTCTACTAACTGGGATTGTTCTCCTTAAAGCAGAGAGATCTATGGGATGCTCCAATTGGCATGTTCTAAATTATAAAGAATTTTGACGGACCAAGTAGGAAAAAACTATGTGCTCTCATCAGTGGTTCAGTAACCAAATTAAAATAATCCAATGAGGAGCAATTTGTAGAGCTGAGGAGAAAGAGAGGGGATCTGATTGAAACATATAAAATTCTAACAGGATTGGACAGGCTAAGTGCAGGGAGGATGTTTCACCTTGGTGGTGTGTCTGGAACCAGGAGATACAGTCTCAGGATGACTTCTGTGTAGAGGGGTGTCATTTATTCAAACATTGAACTTTTGCTTACTTGTGTATGTCTTGTGCCAATTTAAACATGGTAGCGCCTAAGAAATTAATGATTTCCTTACGAGATGTGGCTTTTAGTTTAAGGGAGGGTTCATAATGATCAAGGGTACTGATGAATTCTTCTAATTATTATTGAGAGGTCCAAACACTGCATACGTCAACACAAATATTGAATACATTGTGACAGTGTGACTGCATCACCTGATAAAGGAGTTAGTGAGACTGAGAAAGGAGCACTTGAAAATTAAAAATTGGCACTTGAGAAAATTGGTCACCCTCAAAAAAAGTTTGCGCTCCACTTCCTTCTGCACTCTGTTTCCATTCTGGGATTCTTGCCAATGGTTAACAAATGGTAAAAACCCAGAATCATTAAGATTGCCAATCACTCAACCCATTCAGCTCTGGTTAATTACCAAAAGGGTTAAGATGTTTTCATGCCAGCTACGATCGACAATGCAATGCCTGAAGCAGACTCAACAGCAACGTTCAAAGGCAACTGAATATATACTTCAGAAAGAAAAATCTCCAAGTCTATTGAGAAAGGGCAGGGAAGAACAAACTAATTGACCAGTTTTCAAACAGCCTATGCAGCTGCTCCAATCTGAAAGCCTCCTTCTGCACTGTATCATTCTATAAATTATTTAATTAATCCAGAAAACACAAGGAAAAGAAAAAGTGAAGTTACCAAGCAGCTGCTTCCATTTCCTGCATCCTTTCCCCCTGCAGCATGTTCAACTTCTGCACATGTCGTCGACAGTCAGCACCCGAGCCCTGGCCATATACCTGGGGAGATATCATGTCAAATCATAAGTCAGGAGGAAAAATCAAATTCAGGAGAGATGGAGAAAAACTGCAATTATACAGCATCCTTTGTAACCTTAGGACATTCCCAAAACCTTTTACAATAACCAAAATACTTCATTCATTCACTGTTGTAATGTAGGAAGTATAGCAGCCAATTAGCATATGCAAAGTCCCACAAACAGAAATGAGATAAATAACCAGATCATCCATTTTTACTGATGTTGAATGAGTCATAGATATTGGTCAGTGCACCAGGGATACCAAGAGGTATCATAAAATGTTTCACATACAGCTGAGGGAATGGATATAGGCCTTGATTTAATGTCTCATTTAAAGATGGCACCTCTGACAGTGCAGCACTCCTTTAGTATTGCATGGATGTCTCAGCCAGATTTGGTTGATTCAGAGATAAAAAGGCTGTTCCCAATGGGCTACAACAGACAGAGATATGAGCACTCCATCATATTTCAATGATTGTCTGCTGACTACATTTGAGGTAAGGACATTTGGTATAAGGGATAAAAGGGGGAAAATGTTTAGAACTCAACTTTTGAGGCAAACAAATTTGTTTGAATGATGAATGTCAATTTTTTTGTCTTCATCATTTGCACAGACTTGTCAGCTATTGGAAAAGTGTTGAAAGACAATTATCTCTCATGGGCTGTGGATATCTATATTAAAGTGTGCAAAATGCAGGGCGGGGGAGGAGTAGCAGAGCAATGTTTTTTGAAAGAGTTAGCACAGGCTTCTCCTGTATTGTCAGATTTTAACAGACCTGCTACTTTATTCACAGACTTTTTGCCAATTATGTCATTTGAAGTCTCTTGGATCCAGTGGAGGTTCTTCCTCCAATCTGTGCTTATAAAATCAACATCCTCACCTTCAGCACTGACTGTTTTGCTTCACACAACTTGCAGTTCCACTTCTTGCTCTTCTTAACCTTATACAGACAATACCAATTAAACATTTCAGTAAAATACAGATGGGGAGATGGGGAGATGGGGCGGGGGGGAGAGGGGGGGGGGGG